GCCTCGAGCCTCGGAAAGTCTCGAAGACCCAGCGAGTGCGGGTGATGTGGGGGGTTGGGGTGGCGGGGCTCGGTCTACCCAGGGAAGCTGGGCATATAACAGTACCCAAAGCACGGTCCCAGCGCGCGAGGAACTGTCTGTGGGAAGAGACAAATAACCTGGCCAGTACAACAACGTGAGTTATAGTGGAGGAAGTGCTAGGCGCTGTGGCTCACATCTCTCTGTGCTCCCCTCTCTGAAAGAGTTGGGAGGAGGTTGCCTAGTTGGAAGAAAGCGTGGAACTCCCCAAGAACTGAAAATGGTTCACTCTAATTGCAAAGGAAGGGCAGTTGTTGGAGGTGAGGGAGGTGAGGCAGGCAGAGGCATGAAAGCCACTTTAAGGGGCTTGGGTTTTAAGATTACACCCCCACCCCTTTTTTTCTTTGAAAAGACAAGCCTATAACTATGGAGAATAGATCCGTGTTGTCAGGGGTTAAGGATGGGGGAGGGCGTGACTATAAAGGAAGAGCATGAAGGAGTTTTTTGGGGTGATGGATAGTTGTGGTGGCCATAGAATCTGACTAAACATGTCTTAAAATCCATAGAACTGTAACTACAAATAATCAGTTTTGCTGTATGATAATTTCTTAAAATTCACCTGGAATCACTGCCTCGGGAAGCAAGGGGCTTAGATTTTATTCTGAGGCACTGGGGATATACTGCAAGGTTTTGATATGGGAACCATGTAATTAGATTTGCATTTAAGAAAGCTCACTCCATGTAGCATAAAGAATAGGTTGAAGGGAAGCCAGACTAGAGGCAGGGAGCCAAATTAGAAGGCTGTTCCAGTAATATAGGCAGGGATTAATAGGGGTCTGGGCTCATGGTGGCAGAGGGCATGGGTCATGTGAACAGATTTGACAGACATTTAGAGCTAGAATGAACACGACTGGGAAATTGAATGTGAGGAAGAGGGAGAAGATGGTGTTCATATTTCTGGCTTGGGTAGCTCTTCATGTGGTGTGAGATGGGTAATACAGGGGTGGAGGGGATGGAGGGGGATACGTTTAGTTTCAACATTCTGTTGAGATGGGTTGTGACTGCCCTGGCCGGTTTGGTTCCGCGGTTAGAGCATAGGCCCGGGGACCAATTAGTCAAGGGTTTGATTCCGGTCAAGGGCAGTACTTCGGTTGTGGTTCTTTCGTGGCCCTGGTCGGGTTGGGCGGGAGGCAACCAGTTGATGTAGCTGTATCACATCAATGTTTCTCTCTGTCTCTGTCTCTCTGTCTCTCTCCCTCCCATCTATCTGATAATAAGTAGAAAAAGAGTGACCTATTGCAGTGGCCCATAAAGGAGCATATGGAAGAAAGAGCTGAGATGGAGAAGGAGGTTTAAGAGGCACCAGCATCTAGAAGTGGACATGTATGAGATTGCCTGAGGAGGGTTTTTAGAGTGTGAAGGGGGCCTTCGACAGCTCCCTGGGTAGGCTGGAAAGGGGACGATGGACCTGCAAAGGAGACTGAAAGTGGGAAGTGGAAAACCAGAAGAAAATAGAAGCTTCATGGAAGAGAAGGAGTACAAAACTGTCAAATGCTTCTGAGAAGTCAAACAAGAGAAGGACTTTGATTTAGCAACAATATCTTGTCAGAAACTGTTTTAGTGGCGTGGTTTCAGCAGAAGCCACACCACAGCGACTTGAGGAATGAGTAAGAGCTGAGGAAGTGGTGATAACTAGTACAGACTTTTTCAAGGGAGGTGTGGGAGTCTTTAATGTGCTCTATCAGGGCTTAATCCAAATATAGCAGTTTTTTATAATCAAACAGTTATAACTATTTGGAAAGCAACCTGGAAAATGTAACACAAGCCTTAGCATACTATAAATATGATGATATAAATTGTATAATATACATTAAGCAGGGATATGTCATAAGATGTTGTAGTGGATCATATTTGAGGTTTTAACTGAGGTTCCACCCTCCTTGAATTTCCTTGTACCTGACCTTTCATTTCACCACTGAGATACCAGTGATCACTTTAATGCACTTGGGTCAGGGAAAGACAGCTAAAATCTCGAAAGGAGACATTAAAAAAAGGACTGGATTTTTTTTTTTTTTTTATTTAATTCATGGTGAAGTTGAAAGTCAAAGCACTTTTGTAAAAGCACTCTTCAGGTAAAAAGTTTTATTTGTTTTGTTTATGTTTTAGTGGAAATGCTTGGCTTTGAGTATCAAAAGCCAAGGAACCTAGAGGACAGAAGAGCACAAACCACAGATTAGTCCCATTTGTCTCTTTTCCTTTATTTCTCTTGCTCTACGTGATATATCTGAAAATTATGCTATGTGAGATGTCTGAGATTTTGCTGTCTATGTTTTCTTCTAGGATTTTTATGGTTTCACGGCTTACATTTAAGTCTTTTATTCATTTTGAGTTTATTCTTGTGTATGGTGTAAATTGGTGGTCTAGTTTCATTTTTTGCACATAACTGTCAACTTTCTAAACACTATTTATTGAGGAGATTATCTTTACACCATTGTATACTCTTGCCTCCTTTGTCAAATATTAATTGAATGTAGTGGCTTGGGTCAATTTCTGGGTTCTCTGTTCTGTTCCATTGATCTATATGCCTGTTCTTTTTTTCCAGTACCTGGTTGTTTTGATTACAGTGACTTTGTAGTGTAATTAGATATCTGGTATTGTGATCCCTCCTACTTTGTTCTTCTTTCTCAAGACTGCTGCTGCTGTTTAGGGTCTTTTTTTTTTTTTTTCTTTTGATTCTATAAAAATATTTGGAGTATTTGTTCTAGATCTATGAAATATGCTGTTGGTATTTTAATACAGATTGCATTGAATCTATTGATTGCTTTGGGTAGTATGGACATTTTAATGATGTTAATTATTCCAATCCATGAACATGGTATATTCTTCCGCTGGTTTATATCTTCCTCTATCTCTTTATGTCAGCATTCTTCGAACAAATTGGACTACATCAAACTAAAAGGCTTCTGCATAGCAAAAGAAACCTGCATCAAAATGAAAAGGGAGCCCTAGCCAGTTTGTTCAGTGGTTAGAGCGTTGGCCCATGGATCAAAGGGTCACGGGTTTGATTCCCAGTCAAAAGCATGTACCTGGGTTTCAGGTTCAATCCCCAGCCTGGTTTGGGTTGTGCGGAGGCAAACATTTGGTGTGTCTCTCTTACATCGATACCTGCCTCTCTTTCTCTCTCTCTCTCCCTCCCTCCCTTCCTTCCTTCCACTCTCTCTAGAAACTTGTGGAGAAGTATTCTTGGGTGAAGATTAACAAAAAAGAAAAAAAAAAGGGAACCTACTGTATAGGAGAACATATTTGCCAATGAGACATCTGATAAGGGGTTAATTTCTAAAATATATAAAGTACTCATACAACTCAAGAAAAGGACTAACAATTCAATTAAAAAATGGGCAGAGGACCTGAATAGACATTTCTCCAAAGAGGACATATAAATGGCCAAGAGACATATGAAAAAGTGCTCAAAGTCACTAATCATCAGAGAGATGCAAATTAAAACAACAATGAGATGCCACCTCACACCTGCCAGAATGTCTGCCATCAATAAATTAATAAACAAGTGCTAGTGAGGATGTGGAGAAAAAGGAACCCTAGTACACTGCTTGTGGGAATGCAGAATGGAGCAGCTACTGTGGAAAACTGCATTTTCCTCAAAAAATTAAAAATAGAACTGTCATTTGACCCAGTGATTCCACTTCTAGGAACATATCCTAAGAATCTCAAAACACCAACCAGAAAGAATATGTGCACCCCTGTGTTCATAGCAGCATTATTTACAGTGGCCAAGATCTGGAAATAGCCCAAGTGCTCATCAGTAGATGAGTGGATAAAAAAGCTGTGGTATATTTACATTATGGAATACTATGCAGCTGTAAAAAAGAAGGATCTATTACCCTTTGAGATAGGATGGAGGAACCGGGAGATTATGATGGTAAGCGAAATAAGCCAGAAAAGATAAATATCACATGATCTCACTTATATGTGGAAGCTAATGAACAAAATAAACTGATGAATAAAATAGAACCAGAGACATGGAAACATGGAACAGACGGAAGAATCTCAGAGGGAAGGGGGCGGGAAGAGATTAACCAAAGAATGTATATGCATATATGCATAGCCTGTGGACCCAGACAATAGGGTGAAGACCTGGGGTGGGAACCAGGTAGAGGAGGGCAGTGGAAAGGAAAAAGGGGGAGGACATATGGAATGCTCTCAACAATAAAGATTGCAAAAACACATAGGTCACGGGCAGCTACAGAATGATGGAAGGTCTGTTTCCCTGATTCAGGGGAAAGTTTCTGGGAGCAGAAAAAGGGGGGTTGTAATTTGCATACAGACCCCCCCGACAGGATTTGGGGGGGTGCAGAAACTGCTTGTGTTTCCCTTTCCAGGGTAGAATTTAGGGTTTCTTAGATATGCTGCACATCCAGTATGGGGCCAGAGCAATTGTGCAGCTTTGGCTGACACAGTTAAGTGGACAGGTCAAATCGATGGCTCAGATCATGGAGCACTGTAATGTTCCTAAGCCTCAAGGGGAGCTCAGAAATGCTGAGAGAGCACCTCTAAACTCAGACAGGCCTATAGCTTAGAATAGAAGGAGGCAGAGTATATGGAGCTAGCACATAGTAAGTACTCGGGAAATGTTAGCTTCATTGTGGGCTGGACCTAGTAACTTGATTCTAATGAACAGAATACAACAAAAGTGACAGGATGTTACTTCAGAGATTAGAACAGAAAGCCCTATAGCTTCCATCTTGGGCACCCTCTTTTACTCTCTTGCTCATTCATTGTGAGTGAAGCCAGCTGCCATGTGAGGTACTCAAGTAAGCCTACTCCAGATTCCTGACCAAAAACTAAGATAAATGCTTGTCATTTTAATCCATTTAGTTTGAGAGTAATGTGTTACACAGCAACAGATAATCATTAAATGATGTTACACAGAGCCCACAATCACAGAGATGAGCCAGCTGCAGTACCTGTTGCTGACAATGCTGCCATTGCTACTGCCACCACCATGACGTCGAAGGATCCCTGAGACCTGAAGACACTTGCTTCTTTTGTTGCCGCCCCCCCCCCCCGCCCCAGGCAGTGTCCAGGGTCACTGGTTCTATGACTTCCAGGGTGCCTGCTGATACTGCCATCTTTGAAATCACACGGAAAACCAGGGGCTACTCTTGTCCACAACTACTGTTGTCTGGAAGTAAGCCAGAAATTGGAGAGGGGAAAAAAACCTTACACAAACAAAATATGCCTTCTATTTTTCCTTGTTAAAAACTTAACTGGAAGATACCTGACAAGAGAGTCTGAGAAATGTGTTTGATATACTTTTGAGCCCTATGATAACCAAAAAGAGTATAGAAAGGTAGAAATGTAGCTGAGCACAGACAGAAATGAATAATGCGAGCATGCACGTTCACGCACACACACGCGCGCACGCATACACACACACTTTTCCACTTAATAAAGGAGTGCTATTAGGCAGCTCATCAACCTGATGGACCGCTATGATATCCTGTGGGCTAGTAAAATGATCATGATCTCTGCTTACAAAACAGTGGCACAGAGCCTTAGAGTTATATCAATACTAAGGCAAGATGGTGTTCCACAGTTGCTTCCAGGGGAAAGCAGATTGCTTCTGGTATGTTTTTATCTATTAAATTGAAGGGCAGACATTTGCTCAGGCAGTGGCTCCATACCAGGGCCTCTGTTGATATGTTCCTCAAGAGACCTCACCTGGAAAAGCCCTGGCAGTTGGATACATTACCTGATTGAGTTTATAATCCTCAGTCATTCTTCAAGATTCATCAATTTTTATCCCCAACCAAGCTGGCAGGTTAAATGCATCTTTCAAATCTTTGATGGTGACACTTACTATAGTCATTAGCCAAGGGATTCATATAACTTCTGTTTTATTCTTTGGATTTGGTGCTCGGTAAAGACTTGCTAAATAATTAACATCTCATAATCTTCTAAACTAAAGGAAGAGTCAGTCCTTCACCTCACCTCCTGACCTCCCAAGCCTATCAGAATTCTGTTGTATTTCAAGGCCAAAAAGCCATGTCTGCTAGGAATCCACCCCTCCCTAATCCATCTACTTAGAATATATTATATCTTCCCTATCTTATACCATTTCCATAATGCTATGTTTTAGCCATTATTTCATTGAATTACTGAATTTTATGTTTTTACAAGTCAATCTTTGCTAGACCAAGGTCTTTGAGGTCCAGGAACCTGATCTAAGTTATCTCTGCATTACACCCTCCCTAACCCAGCCAAAGTCTTGCATTTACCAGGTGCTCAATAAATGCATGTTTGAGTTCAACTGAAATTAAAAGGTTGGAGTTTTTTTTTTTTATCCTCACCCGAGGATGTTTTTCCATTTTTTGTACAGATAGAGTGGGAGGGAAAGAGAGGAAGGGAGAGAGAGACAGAAACATCGACGTGAAAGGAACACATCGAGTGGCTGCCACCCGCACGACCAACCAGGGCCGGGGACAAACTGCAACTGAAGTACATGCCCTTAGCGAGAACTGAACACGGGTCTCTCCGGACCACAGGCCGACGCTCTAACCGCTGAGCCAAACCGGCCAGGGCAAAGGTTGGAGATTTTATATTGGCTTATAGAATCCTAAAAGGACCAACAAACAATTAAGACAGCTACAGAGGCAACTTCCAGCACAATTTTCAGTCTTAAGAAGGAACTTCTCAGCTCTGAGTGTCTGCAACGCTATCGTTCAAGCCCAGGTGAGACGAATGACATGTGGTCACTTCATCTTTTCTTTCCCCTGTATACCTTTGCAAGTAATTCTGGACAGTAAATTCCTCATTGTGGAATTGCTCCATCAAATGAATTGCACCAATTTCCATACCCATCAATATTGGGTGTCATCATCTTTGAGGATAAGCCATGTTAAATATGGTATCTTGTTGTTTTAGTCTGTTTCACTTTTTTTCAGTGAGGCAAAGGGTTCTGCTTACTCTGTCTGTCCCCACCTTTTAGTGTATATCTAAAACTCACATTTACCTGCTTCATATTCTTTTCCCCAATAGGTTTGAATTAATAGACTATGACATATATGTATCCCTCTGGGGGAATAAGCATGTTTGGGAATTCCTATCTTTATCATCATAGGTCACTTGTCACTGCTCCCATTATTTTCTTGGTACCAATGCACAGGGTAGCTCAGACCATAGCAGTTTTCAGATATCATATCTTTTTTTTTTTTTTTTTTATCCTCACCTGAGGACATTTTTCCATATTTTGTTCAGATAGAGTGGGAGGGAGAGAGAGAGAGAGAAACATCGATGTGAAAGGGACACATTGAGTGGCTGCTATCCGCACAACCCAACCAGGGCCGGGTGCAAACTGCAATCGAGGTACATGCCCCTACCAGGAACCGAACCCGGGTGTCTCTGGACCACAGGCCTACGCTCCAACCGCTGAGCCAAACCGACCAGGGCTGATATCATATCTTAAATGTCACTTTCTAATAGCATTTGTAAAAGTGCCTGGAAAATTAGTTTAAATTCCATATTTGTTAACTGAATGAACAAATAAATGAATTCACCCATCTCCTTATCCAACCATCCATCATTCTAAATATCACCATAACACTTAGCCCCAGAGCACCTGAGGCTTTGTCGGAGAAAGGCTTCAGCCACTTGGGGGCAGCAGAGCCTCACCAATTACCAAATGGTACCAGGCAGTTACTTGAGAGCATCATTCCAGCTCTGAGTCTAGGAACTGGATTCTGACTTTGTTGCGCTGGATCTTATTTTGCTATTGTATGTTTTGTTTTATTCTCATACCTTGCATTCTAAATGTTCCAAATAGGATGCAATAATATTTAAAATGATTCAGCAATAACAGCTTTTGTTCTCCCCGTGAGATTTTCTTCATTGCAGGCTGTCTAGAGGGATATTGGACATCTAGTCTTTCTCTGACTATTAAAACTACTCCATATGCAGCTCATTGCAGACAGACCTGGGTTGAAATCAGCTTGTAAAATGAGACCTGGGAGCACACACAAGAGGCAGGTTGACCCTTGGAAATATCCTTTTTCAACAGGTTCTGCCTCACTTAAGGTAGAAAAAAAAATGCATTTTTTATTCACTATACAGGACTTTGAATTGGCTCCATGGGGTGTTTTGTTTTCCCCATGGGGTGTTTTTGTTTTGTTTTGTTTTAATAAATAGATGGCAAAGACATCCTGGAATGGGGATGGGAATAGCTGGGAAGTGGTTGCAGGCATATGAAACTTGGAGTGTTTTTAGTTCTGTCCATGAAAACCCTCCATCTTTCCTTTTGTCTCTACCAAAGTCAGTGTGCAGCCTTGTGAATGTCTGAGAAGGTAGCTGGTGACTTATAGAGATGTGAGGACAATGATTTATTGCTCTATGGATCCATCCACCTAGGAAGGCCCTGGAATTCTGAAGGGTTCCTCACTGTAAATTTAATTTGAATTCACTTAACCTTTGAAAAATAGAATATGGTCCAGCTGGTGTGGCTTAGTGGTTGAACGTCGACCCATGCACCAAGAGGTCACTGGTTCAATTCCTGGTCAGGACACATGCCCAGGTTGTGGGCCCAATCCCCAGTGGGGGGCATGCAGGAGACGGCCAGTTGATGTTCTCTCTCATCAATGTTTCTCTCTCCCTCTCATTTCCTCTCTCTGTAAAATCAATAAAGGAAAAAAAAAAATTTAAAGAAAAAGAAAAATAGAATATGTCCCCACAGTGAAGAAAAATTCCTAAGGACAGGGACCATGTCCTTTTGTGTTTGTGTCTCAGGGACTTTTCACAGTGCCTCAAAGAATGTGGGCTCTGTAAGTGTTGTTAAATAACACGTGATACTTTCTGATGATGCCACCAAGTCAAATAGAAGGTGACTTCAGGTAAGAAGGACCTTAAGGGATCTCTTACCTCTTGGGATCTCATTTTCCCTATCCCTCAAATAATAACCCTTTGTATTTGAATACTGGCTTTTGTCTAAACCTTACAGACTGTATATTTTCTTTTATACTGGAAAGGTAGGCTAGCCAGATATTAACATCCACCTTCCATAGTGGCTCAGGCTAAAAGTTTTGGCAAGTCATCCAGCCACAACCTGATGCAATAAGACTGTAAAACACAGGTCTTTAGCCTCTAAGAACAACACTGTTTTCACAGAACCACTCTGGATTATAAGAGATAATTGGATTTGTTACTGTCTTGAGATCCTTTTTCTAGCTCCAGCAGTAGTTCTCAGTTCTTACAGCACATTAGAATTAGTGCAGCACTTTAAAAACAAATAACCACTAGTCAAAACTGTGTTGGATTAGAAGAGGGATAGACATATAGCCCAATGGAACAGAACAGAAAGTCCAGAAATAGACCCAGACATATGTACCCAGCTGATTTTCTATAAAATGCAAAAGCAATTCAATGGAGAAATGATACCCTTTTAAAGAAATGGTGCTAAAACTATTGGACATACATAGGTTAAACAAAAGAAACTCAATTTAAACCTCACATTTTATATAAAAATTAACTCAACATGGATCATGGATTAGATCCAGTTTGGCTCAGCGATTAGAACGTTGGCCCGAGGACCAAGGAGTCACGGGTTCAACTCCAGTCAAGGGCACATACCTTGGTTGCAGTTTGTCCCTGGCCCTGGTTGGGGTTGTGCGGGAGGCAACCAGTCAATGTGTCTTGTCTCTCTCACATTGATATTTCTCTCTCTCTCTCTCTTTCTCTCAACTCCTCCCTCCCACTCTAGCAAAAAATAAATGGGGGAAAAAAAAAAGAAAGAAAGAAAAGAAAATCTTCAGCACTTAAGACTGAGCAAAAAGTTCTTAGACTTGGCACCAAAAACATGAGCTATACAAGGGGAAAAAAAAAAAGATTAATTGACTTTATTAAAATTAATAACATTTTCTCTAAGAAAGAGAATGAAAAGACAAGCTACAGCCTTAGAGAAAATATCTGCAAACCACAAGTCTGACAAAGGACTAATTTCTGGAATATATAATGAG